AATGAAAAATTATTTTTTATTAATAAACTACTTCGGTGCCATTTATCAATTTAACACCAATATTGATCGCCATCGTAAATACCATTGCCATGGCACTCTATGTGGTCAATCAGGGTTTCCCCAAACTGCAACTGTTTCTGTACGGTGTTCGATTACAGTTTTATAGTTTCATATTGTTTATTAAATGATACATTTAATGTTTTGCCGTAAATTTCCATACAAACGGGTTGAACTGAGCCAATTGTAAATATTCGTATTCATATTTTAGTACATAATTAATAAAAGCGCTGTTATTCGAAATGTGAACACATTTAAGCTACGAGTAGTTAATGTTCAAAATAATTTACAAACTGTCGTCCGACGCGTCGCATACTACAATATTCTGCTGCTGTACAGAGATGCAAAAAAACATGAAAATACAAAAGCACCACACTAAGTTTTTTTTATCTCAGTGGCAACAAATAATACTATAATAAACACCCACTGTACTTGTACACTGCAAATATTAAGAAATCAAATCTAAACTAATTATTTGGAGAATTTACTTATGATTTTGCCTACACACCTGGCTACATAATAAAAATGCATATGTAAGAGTTTTTCTTTCGAATTATTTCTTCACCCAACTTAGTTTAAATTTTCCCAATATAAAATATCGATGGTAAAATTTTTACTAAAATTCTTAAAAAATAATTTGTATATAGATCGCCACAATTAGTTTTACTCAAATAGTGTCACATTAGTTTTGCTGTTTAAAAATCCATTTACTTGTATTCATAATACACATAATAATTTCTTTAACTGTAAGTCCAATCAGATACTACTACTACGAGTATGCAATTTCATGTAGCTACATTCAAAATAAACACGTTATTGTCAATAGAGTTTTTGGCTGGCAATTGCCATAAAGGAACGAACCAGAGAACATTGACGGACAAAGGGAAGTAAGTAAATTTTGTTATTGGTTAGTTGGAAATTTTAACTTGAAAATAAAAACAGTGGCACGTTAAACCCTCATATGTTGAATTGTTGCAATTTATTGTATCGATCAGAACACATGCTGTGTGCTACAATGATGTTAAGCATTTTGAATGTGAAGACAGTGTTTGAGATAATTTTATTATTTATTATTATGATTATTTTTATATTTATACCCTACACTATACGTATTAACCATAATCCAATCACAACGTATAGGAATTACACGCACACATTTATGTATGTATTTGCAAAATGATGACGAATTAATATACAAGACTAAATACAAATTACATTCGCATACTAGATCTAAAAAGTTCTCTATATTAGGAACTCTAATAGTATTAACCAAAGAATAATAAGAAGTTGGACTATGACATTGTTTTACAACAATAACATTTCCTTCTCTTCACAGACCAGTTCTGTGTAAATTCAACACACTTGTGAGAACTCAATTCTCTCACAATACTTCAAAACTTCTTCGCGAAAATACCGGGATAATAGAACTTGAACGACGTTTTTTCACAAACACATAACTATTTTTTAATTTTTTATACAATTTTATCGCATTTAACAATCCGAAATATTTTTATTTTTCACAAACTAAAAAAATATTTTTTTAATTTTTTTGACAATTAATTTTTGTGTGTTGAAATTAAAATTGACAAAACAAAGTTGTATATTTTAGTATTGAAAATGAAAAAATTATTTAAAATAAACTTATTTTTTTGCAAAAAAAGAGATTTTAAGTCCGAAAAATATATTTATTAAATGTTTACTGATTGGATGTGGGCAAAATAAATTAAAAAATCTGCGAATGTAGAAATTTAAATGTTATTTATTTTTCCTAAAATTTTTATGTACGATTTTATGCAAGTATGTATGTTTGGAAAGTGTGGTGAAAGTGGTTGGAGCTCCAATACTAATACAAAAATTCTACCAATACATACTTAGAGTTAGGTACCGAATGACAACTCCTTTACGTACCAACTGACAAGCCCCAATTTCTTTATATTCTTTGGTATTAACCATAGAGAAACATAGAGAGGAAACATGTCAAAATTTTTTTGAAAACAGTAGGCTGTTCACACATATAGGTACTGTGTATTCAACATACCACCTGTTAGATTTCCCCACAGTCATTTGTCAAATTAAATGTAAATAAATTAAATATTTTTAGTTTTATATAAAAAAAATCAAAATTATATATGTATGTATGTTTCCGTACTCGTCTGGATTTCCATTTTTTGTCATGTCCCGGTTATTGCAGTGGTCCTTTCGGGATTGCTGTGGTTTAAACACAAAATTACGGGTTAAATCTATATTTCTGGATAAGTTTGGTGCTGTTGCCGAAAAGATAACAGATACATAAGTGAATATACTTTACGTGAAAACCTGTCGTGTTGGCCTTATACGACCACTGGGTAAGCTTGTTAGACGACTCACCACCACCACTTTGTGCTCCTTAAACTTTGCTCATGTACTCGAGCTACCTAATCTCTGACCATTGCTTAACTACCGAGATGCAAAAACATCACTTCAGTTTTCAATCACGAATGTGTGATTCGGCAATAGCACCTAGAGACGTAATCAGTGGATACACTGTGGTCTGGTATGGACAGAGCAAACCCTAAATATACCCTGACATGGAAGGCAAATTCATTGGTATCACATTTATAAGATACTTTACATACATCACCATTCAACTCTGCACACCGACACACTCATTGAGACCAACATCTGAGTGAGTAAGTTCGTATAACCCTACATCCATCCCGTATGATATACAACTCATTTCCAACGCTCTGCCGTATCTCAGCTACAGCACCGAACTTATTCCGAATTATAGACTTTACCGTGCTCCAGTCTTTTAACCAATATTCTCCGCGAGTATGGGTTTAAACTTTAAACCGCAGCCACCACGTACATACCGAATGGAACACTCCAATAACCGGACAAGACAAAGATGGAAACTCAGCCCCGTGGTATCAAATTATAAGGCTGCCTGGTTCGGCCGTTGTTCAAATAATTTCAAGGAATGTCCGATGATACATTTAGCATCACCAGTTTATAATCCCGGCAAACCGGATTGCAATAACATCAAGATAGGGAAGAGTTGGTGTCAAAGGAATAAGTTACTGAATGAATCAAGGGTATATGGACCTCGTCACACCCATATGTTTTGTGTTTTCTCTTGAATTTGGGTCACCTAAATCTGTTTATTTTGCCGAAGTTATGTAAAATTTTAAAAATAAATAAAAAATTGTTATGGTGAAAATGTCAGAATTATAAATTGAAATGTTGTTACCCAGCAAACACAGAGGGTTCATGTAAAGTCGAGAAAGGTTGTAAATCAAACTATTTTTAAATTTTAAAACTCTAAATCGAATTTAAACGTTAAATAAATTTCTCTTTTTAAAGAACCATAAATGTTTAATATTAAATAAAATTAATATCATTTTTCAAACGTTTGATTTTGTGATTGTTGGGTTATTTCAAATATGGGGAATATACTAATACTACTATAATTATTTCTACTACTACCCTGTAGGATTTTGTGAGTTAACTAAAAATAAAGTTAACTTTTTGATAACTTCTTATGACTAGCTTCAAAGTAACTCAAAAATGATCGAGGAAATGAACAAATATTTCAATAAAATTTTAAATAAAAAATAAAATAGAAACTCGTATCAAATTTGTCAAACAATTTGTATTGAAAAAATGAAATTATGAAAATGAAAATTTGTTTCAGCAATGAAAAATGAATTTATTATTATTAAATTAACATTTTCAGGAATATAAGACATAGATAAAGGTGTATATAGGAAGGAAATGTTGCTGCATATTGAACGCATTTATTATTACTAACAATTTGTTAAAAATAGTATAAAAATATAAGAAAATTGCACAGGTAACTCACAGCTGATCTTTTATTTATGCACTAGAAGCTAACTCATCTTGAGGTAACTTCTGGTTAACTGAAACTGATGTATAGTGAGTGAGTACTGACTCGTTCCTATGACATCACATTGAAAAACTGAATAGTATTTTATAAGCAAAATGGTTAGCTTTTGAGTCACCTCTGACTCATTTGTGGTTAACCATAAGTTAGTTTTAAGTTAACTCAAAATCCTACTGGGTACATTCAATCGACTTAGGTTTTCGACAACAGACTTAGGACCTTGACAGCAGAGTTTCCGCTCTATATACTCTATGGTATTAACCCCCTCATTTTAAAAAACGAAAATCCCAAAAAAGTATTTTTCCTAGGTCCATTCTTTGCAAATGCATATAAAAAGAAATATTTGAAAATTTTGAGTATTTTTTCTTATTTTACATAATAGACTAAAAACAAGTTAGGCACCTGAATTTAAACATCAAACAATGTGTGGTGTTTTTCTAGTTTTTCTATATTTCTCAAAATCAAAAGTGTGCCGTAACACAATTGATCTTTTTCTAATTAAGTTCGGCAATCGTGATATAAGCCGTCTTGATGATGTCATTTGGCCACATCGGAGCGATTTGAGAATTTAGACTTTTTCTTGATGGGCGGCGTAAAAGACTGATGATATTTATGTCAATTATCTAGAAACGACCCAGATCATTAAGGCTGACATCGCTCTGGTGATTCGTAGGATATAACCAAAAACCTACGAATCACCAGACCAAAAAAATCTTGGAAAATTGGACCGACAGGTAATATAAATGACATAGCGTTCGAAAAATAATTGGTTAACTGATTACTGGTTATATTTTATCGTAAAGTTATATTGACAGTTTATATACAAAAAATATTTTAACCGACAGAATATCTACAGGTTAAACGATAACCGGAGGTGCAGTTAACAGGGCTTAATGCTATTAAAAGGATATCTTGCAAATGCACCACACTATATTTAAACAAATACAGAAGTTTTTACATGAGTTTCTATGTCTATGCCTTTTTAATGCACCTAGGGAATTGTTATATATGTGATATATATCTTATATATAATAATAAAAACTATTATTTGTCTTTACAGGCAGAGGGCCCTCCCGTTCAAGTAGAACCAGTAGATTTAAGCTTACGTTCACCAAGAGGTAAGTTCAATTAAAAATATATGATTCCTTATATTTTATTAATACATATTAGGTATAATGATATTTTGTTTACAACAATTTTTTGCAAATACAACAACAATTAAATTTCTATTGTAAGAGTATGCGTTTTAGAAAAATGTGTTATTCGACTATGCCGTATCTTAAAATAAATAATGTTAATAGAAATGTATATTTATTATTTAAAGCTTAAATAATGAACAAATAACAAATAAGCAATAGGGCTCTTGTTTTATTTCATGTTTCTAGATTCAATATTATAAAAATTCAAAAAGAACGAAAAAGTGCCAAAAAGTTACTCTTTCACATTCGCTAAAATTTTAGCGGACAATTTTATATTTAATCAAAGAAGGATTCGAAATAACTTACGAGGAGCATACTTCGTAGCGTTGCGTAGAACTGTACAAAATTTATTTAAGGGGATTTAATCTATATATAATAGAGTAGCGTTACTGACTGACTGATTCATCATCGCACAGCCCAAACGGTTTAACCTAGAATCGCGAAATTTTGACAGTAGTTGTATTTTTGGTTATGTAGATCCACTTAGGAGTGATTTTTGGAAATTTGTACATTTAGGGGTAAAAAGGGAAAAAAGTGATACAAGAAAAATTTTAAATGTATCTCTTAAAATAAGCAGATGGGTGTCTGGTACTTTTTTGAAATTCGTATTTTTAAGGGGTGAAAATGTGTAACAAAGGTGATTTTGGTACCTTTTTTGGCCCTTTATAACTTTTTAACTAATAAACAAAATAACACTTTTGTAAATATTTTGAATATATGTATCTCCCAAATTATAAGACACCTGTTTCGTACTTTTTTAAAATTCAGTCCTTTTTGTGTGTAGAAGGGAGAAAATTGTATTTTTGGTACTTTTTTTTAGCACATTAAGAAAACTTTTTCGATTTATTGAAGTATTCCTATTAAATTACGGACTAACTCTATAATATTTATTGAAACAAAATTTTTGCTATTTCACTGGGGAAAATAGTACCAAAAAGGGGAAATCGGGAAATTTAATTGTATTCAAACTCATTGACCCAATTTTTATAAAATTTGGAAAAGTGGGTTATTTACTGATACAAAATATTTTGGAATTCAAGTACTAAGGCCTATATAGGACCAAATTCGAGCAAATTGTTTGGTACTTTTTGAACTTAATTCTGAAAAAAGTATATTTCTAAGCGAAAAGGAGAAAAATTGTACTATTTTTATTAGTACTTTCCACTAAGGTATTATTTATTCTACTTTTGGTACTTTTTCTTTCTTCAAATGATACTCTTTGTATGTTCTATAATATGAATTCAAAACACATGATTATTAAACACACACGGTCCTCATTGTATAAGATTCTTTAAGAGAGAACTTTTTAGTACTTTTTATCTCATAAATGGTACTTTTTGAATTTTTTAAAATATTCAAGCTTCTTACTGAATGCGAATTAATTCACGTGATATTGAACGTAACAGTAAACAAATTTGTAATCAATTTTAATCTTCTTCTTCTATATATAAAAAATGAATGTGAGTTTGTTTGTATGTTTGAACGTTATAGACTACTAAACGGCTGAACCGATTTTCTTCAAATTTTCACAGCGTATTCCTGTATGTCTGGAATAGGTAATAGGCTACTTTTTATTTTGAAATTCCAAGTGGGCGAGGAGCCACGCCCATATTAAGAAAATATTAAATCCGTATATTTGAGATCATATACCAGTTAGAGTCCTCAAATTTTGTCGGAGCAACTTTAGTGTCAATATGATTATTTAGGACAAAAAGTAGACGGAATAGCATTAGGGGGCGTGGCACTTCCCATATAAATTAAATACAAAAATTCGTTTATCTTGGAAACTATTTCAGTTATAATCTTTAAATTTTGCACGAATAACTTTAACATCCATTTAAACATTTTGGGAAATAAATTGGCGGACTACCCATGAGGGGAGCGGCACCTCCCATATTAATTAAATATAAAAATTCGTTTATCTAGGAGACTAATGAAACTAAATTCTTCAAATTTTGCACGAAGAACTTAAATATTCATCTGAACATTTTGGAGGAAAAAAAGCGGACTTTCATCTTGGGGGCTTAAAGCCCCCATATGAATTAAATAGAAAAATTCGTATATCTGAGAAATTATTAGAGCTAGAATCTTCAAATTTTACTTGAAGAATCTTGACATTCATCTTAACATTTAGAGTATAACGGGCGGACTTTCAATGGGGAACTTGGCACCCCCCCATATGAATTGAATATAAAATGTCGTTTATCTGGGAAACTAATAGACTTGATTCTTAAAATTTTGCACAAATTACTTTAATATTCATCTGAAAATTTGGGGGAAAAAGTGCGGACTTTCACCTGGGGAGCTTGAAGCCCTCACATGAATCAAATGGAAAAATTCTTATATCGTATATCTTCAAATTTTAAATGAAGAACTTTGACATTCATGTAAACATTTAGAGGATAACGGGCGGACTTTTATTTATACATATTGCTTTTAGGGTAGCAAAGCACACTGGGTATTGCTAGTTTTCTATAAAAGTAAACAACATTTTTTATGTATTTAATTTTGATTAGGGTAGCGAAGCACCCAGGGTATTCTAGTTTATTATATATTTTGAATACAAAACTTTTATAATTTAAAATAAATGATTGTTTATAACAGAAATTTCTTGAAAATACACTTATTTTACTTCGATCGATGTTATGGTTCACAAGTAATATGTATTAACTTCTTAGTTTAGCATAATAGACAATTATTTATCATTCAATTGTATTTGTTTAACTATTATTTAAGTCATAGTTAAGTAATTAGAAGTATGTCATATGTACAAGGAAGTTATTCTGTTGTCATTTGCCATAGGAACTTTGTACGTATGTATGTACTACCACATTAAGATTCAAATTAGGAACAAAATACAAATATAAATATTTTTAGTTTAGTTCTAATTAAAGCTCTTTTAATTCCAAACAGTCTATGTCTGTTCTTATGTGTGTTTTTGCTACAGGTGACATTAAAATTGTATCAATAAATTCTAATTTAATGAAAACGTACACAGTCGTCGAATTACACCCGTCCATTTCCTATTTTTATTTCAGTTTTCAACAACTACTGTTGTCGTTTTATGTGTATAAAAATGCCAACATGTAGTTTTGGTGGCCAATATAAACTGTCATTTATACAATGACCAGTGGTCGTGTTTTTCTATTTATTTGACTTGTACGTGGTTATGATGAACAAAACCGAAACAGAGTAACAAATTTAAATTTGTTAACTGACTCGATTGCTATTAAATAGGAATCGCGTTGAATACCACACCAAAATACGTTTAGTATTTGTTTTGGACCACATTTAATAGGGTTTCTCATAAATTAAAAACTTAAATTCCATACATCTTTCTACTTAGTTTTGCGTTTTGAAAAAGTGGACTTAGACCAATAAACTATATGCTAAGTCGTAAACATAGTTTTTATGGAGAAGTTCAACTCTTGATCATTTTCTCCCACATATAACATTTTGAAATTATTTTTAAACTTATTCGAATATCTTTTAAAAATTATTAAAAGATGGTGTTATATGTATTTTCCTCATACGTTATCAATGAGAAACACTACATCTTGGTTGGCTGGTTATACATATGTGTGTACTTATATACATAATTTCCATAAAATTTGCTGGTCGGTGTTTAAATCTGCAAATGTAAAGTGTGGAAAACTAAACTACTGCAAAAAAAAAGTCGTATAAAAAATGAAAATAAAAAGTTGTTGAGTGGTATGCAAATTTAAATTGATGATTAATAAATTTAAAATTGAAATGTTGTGGACATAAGTGGTGAACTGTTGGTTGGTTGGGTTTGAGCTTTTTTTTTCGATCACTCTTTCTGTTATTTACTTAGTGGATGGCTGGAGTAGTTGTTTACAGTCCATTTAAATGCCTGTGGGTTTTTTTGTTGCTGTTATTGTTGTGGTTGTTTGTTAAAGCTTTATGAGTTTTAAGATTGAGTGCAACATTTATTGGATGTTGTTTGTTTAAGGCAATATTTGTGGCAGTTGTTGTTATTGTAGACGTTGTGGTTCTTAATACGAACGACTACTCGGTTGTTGCCACAGTTTAGTTTAGTGGCATTATTGTTATCATTATACGCTACTTTACATAGTCGAACACGTAAACACACCGTTTAAACCGTTTAATTGGGTTTCAGGTTTAAGATTTATAAATATTATCATTTGCTAACTGGGCAATTCATTTTATTCCATTAAACGGTTCCTGTTAGTTACAATATTAATTAAATATTTATGATACATATTAGTTAGCAATGTGATATATTAGACGTTCATACATACATATTTATTTTGATCATATTTAAAACGTAAAAATTCTCAGGGTCTTTTTCGTGATCTTAAATTAATTTTAATCAAAATCTGACAATGAGAAGAAAAGAAAGCCTTTTATTTTCTAAGACATTTGGCGGATTTTGGCAGCATTTATTAAAAGTCGACTTTACCAACCATTGGAATATTGTCGGTAATCTAATTTTTAATTACAAGGAATTTAAAAAATCTAGAGTATAGAGTACGAAAAAATACGTTAAAAAAAGTATATTACTTTTTCCCGAGCGCTAAAAGACAAAAAAAATATCAAATCAAATTAAAAAAGTAGGTTGGAAAAACATTTTCAGTCAAATAAAAAATCAATTGATTCAATTAAAAAATTAATTGATTCAATTAATAATTTAGTCAAATTTGTAAACTTAAACAATGAGATAATAAAGACAAATAATAAAATGGTTTAAATAAAAATTAGAGGAGGAAAATAAGCTAATTGAAGATAAACCAAATACATATTTTCCTGTGTTTGTGAATTATTTTGGAAAATCGATTTGCCGAGAAAGGTTTTGCAAAATGACCCGCGTAACATGTTTTCGTTTTTATAACACCACTAGCATACCCTGGGTGCTTCGCTACCCTAACTTAAATTAA